AGCTAACAGACAGCTCCTCTCTTTGTATATTTCCCCAAAGAAGAACTGTCTTAATCTGTTTTTTATATGGCATATTTTATTATAATCCATATATGACTTGCAGGTTCCCAGTCCTCCATCCTGAGCCAAAAGAATGCACGAGGAGTCAGGGGCTCCGTGAGCCGGTGACATCCAGGCATGTGCATTTTGAAATGACCTGGGATTTCGTTCCTCTCAGTGCTCCCGGGCTGCACTCTCCGGCTCACCTTGCCCGCATCCTGTTAATGAGCTCAGTGCTCTGACAACCCAGCGGAGGCTTTGCTTTTGGTGCATTGGGTGGGTTTTGGAGGCTTTGCTTTTGGAGGGTTGGGGCATCTGTGTCCAGAGCCTGTGGCTTTGATCTCCGTCCAAGAGGATGCTGCCCCCTCCACCCTGTCCACAGCCCTGGGGAGAAGCAAGCCATTGTTCTTCACTGGTCATTTTCTTTCCTTCTTTCTTTACTTTTATTTGTGCTTTCTTTTTTTTTTTTTTTTAAAAAAAAGACTTTCTGTGCTTCAATCCTTGTTTGTCTAAGAGGTTTTTTCTTATTTGGAAACCGATTTGCTTCGGTTTGCACAGAAGCTGTCTCTGGTGTGATGGATCGTGCTGGAAGTCACCCAAGGAGTATCTCTGTTCCCAATTAGAAGTGGAGGCAGAGCTGCTTACGGGGCCCAGGGAGGCGGCTGGCTGGGGTGACAGCTGCTGCCGCTCTGGAGAGAGGAACGATCCGTGGGTTTATATCCATGTGTACAAAATCAGGCTAATTTAAAGATGAATTATGTGTGTGTTTTGGACCATTTTCTTTCAGTGTTAAAGGTTTGATGGCTCCTATCAGGTTATGTGGTCCCTAAATTTGTGCAAGGTTCAAAATGAGTACACTTTGAAAGAATTGACTAAATCCGACATCCAGATGAGATGTATTAGAATAAAACTGAATCATTGAAGTCCCTCAGAGCTCAACAGAGAACGTGTCTAGGATGTACATTGTGCACAAGCTTGGACCTGTTACTTTCGGTTCCCCTTCAGTCTGGAGCCAGAGAATGTGCCCTGTGCTGGTTTGTTGGGAGGGCCTTGGTCAGCATGTTATTCTGACCTTGCAAGCCTTACCCGTAGTGCTTTGAAACCAGGGTTTGCCATGGTCAGCTGGAACGCTGTCTCAGAATAGCAGTTGGCCGGGTATTAAACAGGTAACATTAAGAACCATGTTTAATGTTTTTCCTTTTTTTGGAAGCAAATCATAGTACACATTATTTTTAATGGCGGTAAACCTGCACTAATACGATAGCCACTAACTACATGTGCCTACTGAATACTTGAAAATGTGGCTAATGTGGATTGAGATGTGCTGTAAGTGTAAAACAAACACCAGATCATGAAGACGTAATGCAAATAAAAGTGTTTCAAGTATTGCATTAATATATTTTATATTGACTACATGTTGAAATGATAATATTTGTATATATTGGGTTAGAGAAAATATATTGTTAAAATTAATTGCACCTGTTGCTCTTTACTTTTTAGAATGTGGCTACTAGAAAGTTTAAAATGATATAATAATGGCTTGCATTATATTTCTATTGGACAGTGTGGCTGCACCATTAAAATCCGAATCATTCAAACTTGGATAATACCACGTAGGGCACTTAGAACATCTTTACCTATATGATCTAATTTTGAATCTTAAGTTTTAATTGATAAGCCTTATTTTTAACCACTGTTTCTCACACTAGTCTTGTGTGTGGATCTTTTTAGTTTCTTTATGCAGGGTGTTAACTTGTTAATTCTCACACCAGTACTCTGAAACAGTGTACTCATACCCATTTAGCACACAAGGAAAGGGAAACTCCGAGGTTTGAGTAACTAGCCTATGATCCCTTGACCAATATATGGCAAGGCTAGGGTTGGACTCCAGGGCTATCTCAAAGCAGGACTTCTATGAGCCAGTTAACTAACTACCTTGGCAGTCAGGCAAGAATTATGACACTGCGTTTCTCTGTGACCCTGGGAAAGTCTCTATCTTTCTGCGTCCCACTTTCCACTTTGAGGGGTTAGACTCGAGATGCTGTTGAGGTTCCTTCTAGCTCTTTGCATGTAGGGAGCTCATCTCACATTTTGGTTTTCTTCTCCCTCTTGATTCTTCTGTGCCCATCTGGTAAAAGACCAGAGGGGCGGGGAACAGATTGAACTCTGGGAAAGTAGGATGGAGGAATGTGTAGCATGGGAGTAAGAAGGAGGAGGGGAAGGCAGAGAAGGAAGGTCAGTTGATAAAAAATTCTGTGTGGAGTCAGTACTGTTGTGGCAGGGTGAGCACCACGTGGGGATGTTCAGAGAGAGCAGAACCCAGAACCATGACATCAACCCGTCCTCCACCTCAGCAGAGATCCGCCTTTTATCTCAAAGGATGAAAACTATGGAGAGAGCCCAGGAATGAAATGGAAATATACAAAGGTTTGGAGAAAGACTTTTCAAGGAAGGACCAAAGAGAGGCAAGGTGAAGTCTGTTCAACTTAGAGACTGGGTGGATGATATTGTAAGTTCTTTGGAAGGAGGATAGGACATGAGGCGGCACACTGAATTGTTTCAGACTTGGCATTTGGAAGCCTGTTCTGACCTGGGAGGAAGAAGAATGTGCCATCAGATCAGGCTCTGAAGTTGCACACTCTGAACCCACTAATGAACACAGTTGACTTTTTCTGTCATCTTCAGCATCGCACAGGCCTCCCCTGATCCCGTGATCTAAAGTAGAGCACTCTCTGTTCTTCCTTCACATTTCACTGTGTCGTTTTCCTCCATCGTTCTTACTACAGTTTGTAGTTGCATGTTTATTTTGGGTTTAGCATTGAATGTCTGTCTCTTTAGAGTGTAAATGACTTAAAGGCCAGGGCTGTCTCTGTTTGGCTCCCCTCCCATGTACCTAGTTCCGGCACAGCATTGTCACCTGGCAGGTGCGCAGTAAGTGCTTGTGGAATGAATAGATGGATGGATGAGTGCAGTGGTGGTTGATTTGGTGGTATTGCTTCTGCTAGAGATGGATCCTCTGCTTGCCTTTTTTTTTTTTTTTTTTAATCCTCACTCGAGGACATTTTTCCATATTTTGTTTATATAGAGTGGGAAGGAGAGAGAGAGAGAGAAACATCGACGCGAAAGCAACACATCAAGTGGTTGCCACCCACACGACCCAACCAGGGCCGGGGACAAACTGCAACTGAGATACGGAAACCGAACCCGGGTCTCTCTGGACTGCAGGCCGACACTCTAACCGCTGAGCCAAACCGGCCAGGGCTGCCTTTTTTGATAAGAGAAATCCCAAAGACCTTGTCTTGCAAGGGACTTGAGATAATGTTTCTCCTTCCCACCTTCTTTTTCTGGGGGCTGGTCACCATGGATATACGTTCCCTCAGTTTTAATGGGAGGCTGAGTGTGCTCCTTCCCTGTGGACTGGCCAGCCCGCATCTGGGTTTGGTGGAGGAGGTGAAAGCAGTTGGTAGAGTTCCGCTGCGTCAGAATAAAGCCCAGTGAGGCAGCGCGATTGTGCTGGTTATTTCCATTTGCTCCCCCAGATCACTCTTTGCTTTGTTTACACTGTCCTGGGCTCCAGGAAGTTGACCTTAGTGGGCTGCGGCAGTAAGGATCCCTTGCTCTCTGGCTTCTGGCTGGGGTTGGCCAGTGGGAGGGCAGGGCAGGAAGATGAGGGCGGAAGGAGGGAGAGGGGCTGTGTGTCCTCATGCCTCCGTTCTCTGACCCAGGGGCTCAGTAGAGTCGGTGCTACCTGGGCGCTCTGCTATGGCGCCCCCTACAGGTCCTTGCACACGCTCCCACTCTGTCCTCCAGGAATAGTAGTGGCAGTGGCTCCCCACTGTGACTCCCCTGGGGTGTTTCCCTCCTGTTCCCTTACTTCTGCCCACAGCTCTGTGAATAGTCCCTACACTAATATCTCAATCCCCCATACAAATGAGCCATTCATTTTTCCTGTTTTCTAGGGCGCCATTTTCTCATATTCTTTTACCCATTTTATCAGATACAGGGTCCCTGTCACACATCTACCGGATCAGAGGAGAGGTTAGAGGGATATTTTGTAGTGAATCCAAATATGACCACTTGTACCTGAGGTTTCTGTTTTTAATGAAACAAAAAAATCTCCTTTGGGTTAACAGTTTGGGGGACATATTGAGAAAGGGGTTCAGCTTCTGTCTGGTCTCTCTCATGGGTAGGGCTGGCTCTGGCTATCACAGCTCAGCTGGCCCCATGCTCCCAAGCCCTAGGTAGCTGCTGGAATTCCTGATGTCTTTGGGGAAAGTGCCCTGGTGTGCAGACACTGCAGCTCCCGCCTGCTGCTCTGGGCCTGAGAGGCGGCCGTGCTTGCTCTGGGCTCCACAGGCCTTCGCTCCCTGGTGCGTTAAGAACCGCCTCTCCGAGGCTGAAATAGCTTTTCCTGGAGCAAACTGGAGCTGGGCAGCCAGCATGGCTGAAGGGAGGTCGTGGAGTTGCCAAACGCGTTGGGCTACAAGGAGAGGATGAGACATGAGGCCAGCATTAATAGACCGCCTTAGAGTTTTCTAAGAACTTAAATGTAAAGGAGCACATTTTTGTCCCACGAAACGGCCATGTGGGGTGCTTGGCACTGTCACCCTCACTTTGGAGATGCAGAGAAGGGCTCGGGTCCTTGAGTGCCTTGCCCAGAGTCACAGGGCTGGAGGTTGGCAGAAGCTGGATGGAGACCTGGGCCATCTGATCTCTTGTCCATCTGGCGCCTCTGCCGGCTCTGAGGTCGCAGGTGGGGCTGGAGTCTGTTTGGACGGAAGGTGAGCTGGAGGTGGCAAGCGGACCCAACGCCAGCGTCCTGTTCCACTCAAAGGAGAGAGCAAAGGCGGCCTCCGTGCTGCCCAGGAGCGCCGTTCCTGCACGCCCTCAGGGCCATCTCTCCTGCTCCTGGTCCCTCTGCTTGTAGTGGCCTGACCCTGCTTTTTGTTCTTGTTTTTCAGAAGTGGAGCTGCCCCTGAAGAAGGATGGGTTCACCTCAGAGAGCACCACGCTGGAAGCCTTGCTCCGAGGGGAGGGGGTTGAGAAGAAGGTGGATGCCAGAGAGGAGGAGAGCATCCAGGAAATACAGGTATTTCTGTGCCCGCTGCACCCCCTGAGTATCACCGTGGACTCCAGCACTGGCTTGGGGTCCTCCTTTCGAGGGCCAGGGCTGCATCTCAAATTGCCTCATGGCTCCGTTACCAGGAAGCTTGCAAATTCTTTTCTGATTTAACATGTTTCCCAGAAGTCATTGTTCCTCTCAAATCCATTTCTCTTTCTTGACTTCCCTATTTATGTACTCAAAATGTATCCTGAGGGCCTGCTGGTGAGAAGAACAAATGGAGTCCTCACCCCTGTGGAGCAAACAGTCCCTGGTCCAGGCTCAAAACCTCAGTGTTGTCAGCGTTAGCTGGTGCCAGGTGCATCCCCACCTCACCCCCATCCGTGCTGTAGTTCACTCCTTTCCCAGCTCCGCCCCTCCTCCCTCCAGGCCAGTGTAGAAGTCACCCTCCAGGCAGGGTTGGTAGCTCCTGTCCCCACTGTTCACTGCCCGCTCTTCACACAGTAAGGTTCTCATCAAGCAAGATTATAATGGTGTGTTCTGACCATTCCTTATCGGTTTGTCTTGAATCCCATTGTTGAATAGAGTGATCAACACAGAGTATTATAATAATGAAATAGAATTGAAATTACATTCATATTAAATTTATATTTTATTCATTTATTTTTTTGTTAATCCTCTCCTGAGGGTATTTTTTTCATTGATTTTGAGGTAGAGTGGAAAGGAGGGGGAGAGGTGGAGGGGGAAGAGAGAGAGAGAGAGAGAGAGAGAGAGAGGGAGAGAGATGAGATACATCGATTGACTGTCTCCCACATGTGCTCCCAATGGGGCTGGGGATCAAACCTGTGACCCTTCAGTCCGTGGGCTGATGCTCTAACTGCTGAACCAAGCAGGCCTGGGCTATATTTTTTTTATATTTATTAATTTAACATGCAATTTAATATATATTCATATATTTACGTATTAGCGTGATAATTAAATTGGTAACAGTTGAATGTTTGGTTTGCTTCATAAGCACTACTAGTCTGTGAGTTCCATCGAGTCAGGGAATGTGCTGGTGTAGCTCCGTGGTTGAGCATCAACCCCTGCACCAAGAGGTCGCCAGTTCAATTCCCGGTCAGGACACATGCCCAGGTTGTGGGCTCGATCCCCAGTGGGGGGCATGCAGGAGGCGGCCAGTCGATGTTCTCTCTCATTGATGTTTCTATCTCTCTCTCCCTTTTCCTTCCTCTCTCTCCAAAATCAATAAAGAAAAAAAAATTTAAAAAAAGGAAAGATGTTGAATGAATCAGTGCGTCTGGTCACCTTCTCTGCCATTCCTGTGTTCAGATGAATGGTCGAGTCTCTTCATTTGTCACAACATGGATTATGGCTGTTCCTTCCTCCACTTCACAGAGCTCCAGCCCGAGTACAGATCCTTATTAACTATCACCTTTATTTGTCTGGCACACCTGGGAGTGATCTTCGACGCCTTTCTTTTGCTCACACCCAGCATCCAATTCATCAGGAATCCTGTCGACTCTGCAACATGAATCCAGAACGTAGCCCCTCTCCCTACATGCACTGCTCCTACCCTGGTCCACGCCTCTCAGCTCCTGTCTAACTGGTCCCCCTGCTAATGCCTGGGAGGGAGCCTTTTAAACATTAAGTCTGATCTGTCAGCCCTGGGCTCCCAGAGCGCAGGTCCAGACCCTCTCACTGCTCTGACTCAGGCTTCCTCGTGTTCACTCTGCTCCGGACACGGGCCTCCGTGCTGCTCCTGGAACACACCAGGCGCACCCCTGCCTCGGCTTCTCTGGCTCCTGCCTTTGCTGGCAGAGTCCTCTCCCCAAACATCCTGTCTCTCTCCTCACCTTCTTCAAGGTTTCGCAGCCACCTCCTCTTTTGTCCGAGTGTGTGGGTGCTGACCCCTGGATACACACCATGCCCTGTGCCCTGCCCACCCCCACCGCTGCACGCTCTCCTCTGCTTTTCTCTTCTCTTCCCCACAGTCTACCACTGTCTAAGGTGCTTCCTTTATGCTGTTTTCCAGTGGAATGTAAACCCCTCGAGCAGGAGTCTTTGTCTTGCTAACTGATATATCTCCAGCACCGCACAGTGCCGGGCATACAGTCGATATTCACCGAGAGGGCGCCCGAGTGACAGGTTCTTGGAGTCCCAGCGCCAGTCTCCCTCTCCGACACTGCCCGCTTCCTTTGCTGACCTTTCGCCCGAGCAGAGCTCTGCTTGTGCCGCCCAGTTGCTGAAACACTTAGTGAAAACACATGTTTCCTACTAAATAAATCCAAGATAAATCCTTCCTGTGCCTCTTCTCTCTGCTCCTACCTGGTTGTCAGGCTCATTTCCCACGACCCCTTGACTCCCTCGGTTCCTCAGCCCTCTTCCCTCTGTGCCTGTGGTCGTGCTGTTTCCTTCCTCTGACGCCCCATTCTTCCATCTCCGTTCTACTCGCCTCTCAGGCTTAGCGCCAGTGCCCCTGCCCCTGGAGGCCTTTCTCCACCCCCACAGCCCGAGGGCCTCTGCTTGCCCCTGGCAGTTAGGGTATCCAGTACGTTTTCTGCTCTTCGTGTATTACCCTCCATTTTTGGACTTTCAGATCTTTGAAAGTAACATATGTCACATCTGTATTGCCCATTAGAGTGTTCTTTTGCTCACTTAGTGTACTGTGCCGAGTCAGTGGGTGGAGCGGAACCATCGCCCAGAAGCCGTGATGCACTAGTGTCGCACAGCCCTTTCCCTTTGAAGCTGGCGGTGGGCCCCAGTTCTCAGGCAGCACTGGGCCAGTACATGGGCTGTCACTGTGGCATCATCACCATCATCACCTTCATCCCCGATGTAAACTGGGTGTCGACTATGTACAGAGCATGGGCTACTGTGCCAGAAGCCGAAACCAGGACCATGAGCCAAATGAATTTACATGTTTTTATTGGCTTTGATGCTGATGATGATGATGATATGTAGTAAATGGACAGTTTCGTTAATTTTAAAAAAATGTTCACCTGATGATTTGTTTTTATTGATTTGAGAAAGAGAGAGAGAGGTAAGAGAGAAACATTGATTGCTTGCCTCCCATAAGCACCCTGAATGGACATCCAATCTGCACCTAGGTATGTGCCCTGACTAGGAATTGAACCTGCAACCTTTTGGTGTACGGGACAATGCTCCAACCAACTGAGACACCAGGCCAGGGCATTTTGTTTATGTTTTCATTCATTCATTCAACCGAAGTGTATTGAGTGCCTCCTCTGAGCAGGCACTGTGCTAGGTTCTAGGGAGGGAGAGGAACAGGAGAGACCGGTCCTCTTGGCTCATCCTCATATTCTGGGGTGACATACAGACAGAAAGCAGGTAAACAAATGGATCAATGCCATTTGATTTGCATTGTAGGATCAATGCCATGAAAAGAACAGAATATGAAATTCAGTAGGAGAGAAGAATCCGGTTTTAGGGAGTGTCCTACGGGAGACAGGTATTTAACCTTAGTCCGATAGGACGAGAAGGAGCTAGCAAAGTGAGGTTTTTAGGGAAGAGCTCTCTGAGCAGAGGAACAGTCTGCTCGAGGGCATGAGGGTAGGTCGTGTTGGAAGAACAGACCTGCCTGTGTGGCTGAAGCACAGTGCCAGGGAGGAGGGCCTAGGATAGAGTTGAGAGGTGAGTGGGGCTAGACCACTCCAGCCTCCCAGGGAATGGAAGAGGCTCGATTTCATGGGAAATGAAAAAGGAAGCCATATGGAGGATTTTAATCAGGACAGTGAATTTGTGTTTCATCAAGATCCCCTGGTCCCTGCATGGCGAGGAGACTGGACACAGGGCCAACACTGGAAGGAGGGAAATCGGGAGACTTCTACAGTGTTCCAGGCCAGAGATGGAATCTTGAAAAGAAATGCCTTCTTTTTAGCTAAACATAACCAGAAACCATTGTTATCATTACTGTAAAGACTGTTCAGAGGAACAGGGAGAAAGTTATTTTAAAATGTGTGTATTTTCCACATAATGTCCTTGGACAGGGAATTGCAAGTGTGTTGCCGGGGCTCAGCTGCATCTCTAGTTGGACACTCCTGCCCTTCACTCCTAACACAGGATACCCTCTCCTTCCTGTGCCCTGGCGGTGACCTTTGTTTGTTAGGAGCTCCCGCCTCCTCCCAAGTTGTGGAGAGAGGCTTCTGGTGTCAGGGCCTTGTTGTAGGAAATGCAGGCACTCTGGGCGGCTGCTGTCACATCTGAGGCCTGGGGCACACACACAGGTTCTAGAGACACAGGGAAGCTGGTGGGAAGGGGAAGGGATGGAGCCTGGACACTGTGGCTGGTGTGGCACTTTGGGGACTAGCTCGGTTGCTTTCACCAGTCTTTCACTTGCCAACCTAGAGTCCATATTGCAGGTAATAAATATTCTCATAATAAAAAATGAGAGGAGTCAGAGCTGTGCTTAGGTGCTAGAGGCAATGACCTTTAAATTCGAGGTACTTAGAACTTGCAATGATTAAATGACTTCAAGACCCAGAAAGCTTGCAAGATGGCTGTACGGCAGTAACAACAGTCGTAGTGAAATCTTTTATCTGGAGGCGGCAGGGCATTCTCCTTGTCTGGCTTTCGTTCATGTTCCCACTCACTGTTCAAGAAGCCAAGGTGCAGGGAGGCTAGGAGGCTCGCTCTGGACCTGCGCCCCCTTCTCCTAGCGGGAGGCCAGAGCTCATGTCCAGCAGACAGGGCTTCTCTGTTAGACGGCTGAGGCTGACCAGAGCCCCTTCAGTGCTGTCAGCCGATGGCTTCCCAGATAAACCTAGTAGAGAAGCCAGAGCAGAATTTAGTAGACCTGTTTTGAGTTCTTTGGGAGGACTTGGTAATTAGCAGTATCCTAGCCCCTGTGACCGGAACAGAATTCTCTGTCGAGGTGGCAGGGGGAGAAGGTCTCTGATAACCTAACTCCTGGGTTTCCTGCTTTGAGGGCAGGCCAAAGGCATTGTCCGGGAGGCCACTGGAACAATGATGGCAGTATCAGATGTCATTGTGGTAGGTGCTGCTGTTTTCTTCAGCCTTTTCCTAGCTGTGATTGGATGCTGTTATCCTGTGTAACATGGTCCCCACCGGCTTTGCTAGCCTCACCTTATGCCAGGCTCTTCCTGAGCCACTGAGCTCTGGTCACATTGGCCTCTTTTCTGCTCTCTGGGCAAGTCATGTTCCTCTCTCTGCCTCAAGGAGTTTGCTCATGCCGTTTCTTTTCCTAGAATACTTCCCTCTCTCCCTTCTCCTTTCCCCATTCAAGACTAGTCTTACTCTCCTGTAGAGCTCAGCTTTCTTAGGTAAGCCTTGCCTGACCCTTAGATTAGTCAGATTTCCTTCTAACACCCTCAAATAGCAGCTTGAACTTGCTTGTCACTGTTTTTTTTGCAGTTGTAATTATATGGTTGTATATGTTATTTAAATCTGTCCTCCCTTCACTAGACTATCAAAATCCGTTTGGAGCCAGGACTGCAGCTATTTTCTGGCTTGTCCGGCATAGCACCTGCTATGTAGTCAGCACTAGACACTTGTTTGTTGGTTGAATAAGTGAATGAATTTCTGTTTTATAATCAGGAAAACAGGCATGAAGAGAGGATGACTAACCCAAAGTCACACTGTGAGCCCATGAAGAAATGCTGGGGCCCCTGACGTGGAGTCCAGTGTACTCCAGGCGCTTTACCCTTATCTCACGCCCACTCTGGCGGCTGGTCCTCTGCACAGTCTCTCATCTCCCCCTTATACCCAGAGATATATCCTCCACCCACCTCCCTCACACAGAGGGAAGTGCTCAGGTCTCTGTAGGAAGGCTGTGCCATGATACACCCTTGGGATCTGTACACACAGGGCTGAGAAACAAATGGGAAACTGACCTTGCTTTGGTCTTGGATTTGCTGTTTGATATTGATCAGTCAAGCCCCTCTTCAGCCTCAGTTTATGTTGTTTATTTTTTATTTCATTTATTTATTTTTAAAACTCACCCTAGGACATGTTTGCTATTGATTTTAGAGAGAGAGGAAGGGAGCGAGAGAGAGAGAGAAACATCGATGTGAGAAAAACATTGATTGGTTGCCTCTTGTACGTACCCTGACTGGTGATTGAGCCCACAACCTAGATACCGGCCCTGACTGGGAATCAAACCTGCAACATTTTGGTGTATGGGACGACACTCCAACCAGCAGTGCCATCCAGCAGGGCCAGCCTCGGTTTATTCACCTGCAAAATGGAATGGGATTCTCCTCTACTCCAGCAGAGCTGTTAGAGAGAATTACATTTATGATCTTTAAGCTTCATTATAAGTAATGTTCTGTAATGAAAATAAATCCATTTTCCTTAAAAAATGACAATGGGTGCCCTGCCGGCGTGGCTCAGTGGATTGAGTGTCAGTCCTGTGGACTGAGGTTCCGGTTTGATCCACGCTCAAGGCACATGCCTGGGTTGTGGGCTTGATCCCCAGTAGTGGGTGTGCAGGCGGCAGCCAATTGATGTATCTTTCTCACATCGATGTTTCTATCTTTCTCCTTTCCTCTCTCTCTGTAAAAAAGTCAATAAAAACATATTAAAAAACAATGGGTGATTATGAACAACACATTAATGTCAAATTCTGGTCAGATGAACAGGAAGTTACTTGTTTTCATCGAACAGGGCAGAGTTCTAGCACGGCAGGTAAAAGAGAACCCTATTTTCATATTTAGGAGCAAAAGGAAAATTACATTAAATTTTGACAAAATATCTTGGGTCCATATAGGAAATTGCTTCTACCTGAGTATTTTCTTTTCAGAAAACCCTTCTCGGTCAGAAGGCAAGGTAGAGGGTCATTGTTCTGGGAGCACTCGCTGGAAGGGCCAAGGGTTTGAGAGAGGGTTCTGTTGCCAAGGGCTAGACTCGGGGCAGCATTTCGGAAGCCTGCTTCCCAGGCAGTGGCAGCATCTCTTCCCTTCGTTAAAACGACAACGAATCGGAACATCCCCCAAATTACCCTCTGATGGTTTTCTCCTTTGCATTTTATTTCTTAACCTCTGTCTTCATTCTCTTGTCCTTTCAGAGAGTTTTGGAAAATGATGAAAATGTAGAAGAAGGAAATGAAGAAGAGGATTTAGAAGAGGATATTCCTAAGCGAAAGAACAGGACCAGAGGACGGGTAAGCTGGGAAGCCATGGGGGATGAGAGATAAGGGAAGCCGAGGCCATGCAAAATACTGGTCCCCAGTTTCAGGGTCCCCTGCGACTACAGCGAGATCGTACCCGTGGTCTTCCTCGCAGAGTGTCGGAGAGGGGAGCTCCAGAGGCTCTGGTCCCAGGTGATAGCCTGCAAGCGGTTAGAGCTGGCAAGAGGGAGAAGAGGCAGAGTGTGCCCCGAGGGGATGCCGAGGGTCTAGGGGTTGGGGGCGGGATCAAGGTGAGAGTGGAGAATAAGGAAAATGTGACAGTTGTCCTCGTTACTTGGTCATAAAAGAAGGATGAAAGTTTCCTGTCCTGGGGCTGGCCGAGAATGACAGGACACCTGCACTTTGAGGTGTATTTCTTTAGGGAGAGAGTAGGACCACAGCTGAAGGTTCCCCAGCAGGTATGGCCATGGCCTTTGGAGGCTGGTGGTCATGGAACGTGGCAAGAAAACGCCAGAAACCCCGGGAACAGCAGAGGGGACATCTGTGGTGGGAAGAATATAAAGATGAGAATAGCTCTTGAAGGGAGGGAACCAAACCAGGGTGGTACCCTCAGTCAGGTATTCAGGTTGGTCCTCCAGAGGGCTCATGGTCAAGCCCAGAGGGGCTTTTTGTGTTCAGCTTCAGGGGTCTTCAAGGGCACCTGACAAGGCCCAGGTGGAGAGGGACCTCTGTGTGTTAAACGGCCCCTTTTCATCTATGGGATTAACTCTTAATCCTGCCTGGCTCCTCAGGCTCTAGGCAGGACGGTTCAATTTTTCATGGACCTAAGGCTGGTCCTGCATGCCCCATGGGTTTGGATCAGGTGATAATGATGGCATACCTCTCTCTCCGTGGTTCTCGTGCCTTAGTCTATAGCAGAATCACCAGCAAAGACTATCAGAATGCAGATTCCCCGACCCAATCCCAGACGTTCTGATTTAGGAGTCTGGGGTAGGGCCTAGAAAGCTATATGGTAACAAAGTTTCTAGGTCAGTGGAACAAGTGTTCCAGCCCTGCTCACACTGAGCTGAATTGCTCCAGCTGTTGAAAGGAGCCGGACTTCCTGAGTGCGCGGGGGGCCCTTGGAGGCTGCATACCTTATATAGTAGCTTTCATCAGTGATCACTGTGCCAATCTTGTTATATCGGTTCTTCCACTTTTTGTTGATTTTAATGTTTTATTTCTGTGTGTGAAATGTTTGAAAACAATTCCTAGACATTTTATCATTTACTCTGGATACACCTCAGTGTATACCTCTAACATATCTCTATCATACCCAGTAAAAAAAAGAACTATAATATGTACATTTTAGTCCCTGATTTTCCAAAAAATGCCTGTATAGTTTTTTTGTTTAAAATTTAAGCCTCTTGGATGCTACAGCATACCTTTTCTTTGCTGCACCCTACCACACACATAGGTTTTTTTTTTTTCCATGCCACTTATCTGTTGAAGAAGTTGGGTGGTTGGTCTTAAGGAACCTCTCACATTCTAGATTTGACAGACTGATGGCATTTAAAGTGTTCTTCTGTCCTCTTTATCTCCTGAAAACTGGTGGTTTGATTAGGGACTTGATGAGAGTCAGGATATCAGGTGTGTAAATATTTCGAGGGCAGGGATCTTTCCTGGGTGTGCTGTGTGTCTGACTGTGTCACATCGGAAGCATGCGTTGTTCAGTCATTCTGCTTCTGGTTAAATCGATAGGTGAGTTTGGATGTTGTCTGAGCTCTTCTTACAAAGTTCCCCATCGAGTTAGTACCTAATCGTCTTAACAGCCATCGATGAACTTGCCTAGACCCGTGAGTTCATTGGAGGTTGCAGAATAACGAATATCTAATTCTACTACTAAAGGAGGCTGTAGAATCCAGGTCTGTTTCCTTCCCACCCCTTAGCCCAAACCAGACTTACGCGATTAGACTGCGGAAAGAGAATGGCTTTCACATCTTCTCCGTTCTCAGCCTAAACATGAAGGCTTGAACTCGCAGTCATCGAGTGTCAATAGGGGTCTTTGGAAGAGCATCAGCGGTAGCACAGCAGCCGTTTTTACGTATTGTGTCCTTGCACACACCAGGCGATGTGATGAGGCTCCTTACATTCGGTGGAGAGTGGGGACTGTGCACTGCACTGGCCTTGCTGGCCACTGACCACTTACAGTGTTACTACTTCACATTGAAATGTGCTGCAAATGTAAAATACACACTAGATTTCAAAGACATTGTACGAGGAGAATGCAGAACATATCCTTTTTTTATTGACTACATATCGAAATGATAATAATTTGGCTTTGTTGGGTTAAGTAAAATATTAAAATTAATTGCACCTGTTTCTCTTTTTACTTTTTAAAAAAAATGTCTACTGGAAAATTTTTTTTTTAATCCTCACCTGAGGACATTTCTACATTTATCTTCAGTTAGAGTGGGAGGGAGAAGGGTAGGAAGAGAGAAACATCGATGTGAGAGAGACACATTGACTCGTTGCCATCTGCACAACCCCAACCAGGGCCGGGGACGACCTGCAACCGAGGTACATGCCCTTAGCGGGAACCGAACCCGGGTCTCTCTGGACCTCAGGCTGAGGCTCTAACCGCTGAGCCAAGCTGGCCAGGGCTCTACTGGAAATTCTAAGGTGACCATGTGTGGCTTGCATTTGTGTTTCGATTGGCCAGCACTGCTTCTTTCATTCCCATAAGTTGGTAGTATTACTTCCAGAGATCTTAGGTAACTGCTCAAGGTCATCCAACCTAGGAAGGGAAAGTCAGGATTTGAATATGGGTCTGTGCTTTTTCCACTGGGTCATGTGTTGCCCAGTCCCCAGCATGTGGCCAATCAGCACTGTTTTGAATGAATGATTGAATGATGGAAAAGGAAAGAAAGTCCTATTTCAGCTTTGTGGGAGCTGAGAGAAGGCTTGAACACAGTGAGGGGGCTGGATGGGGTCTAGACCAACTCTGGGCCCACCTCATGTTGGCCAAGGGGCAGTGGAATGGCTCTACATTGTGCAGTGACATTGTGGACATGTCACCCATGGAGGGAGCCATGGGAGGGAGGACCCAGAAGAATGCAGGTGAGCCTGCCTGGGCTGGAATGAGTGTGAAGCTGCCCATGTAAGCCACCCCTAAAGCGTACTGTGTTCGAGCTGCTGCAGGCTCCTGAGAACAGTCGCGCCCTTTCTGTTGTCAGGACTGAGCGTCAGTTCAAGGCTCTGCATCTCAACGAGTGTTCTTTGGACTGCAGCATCACTGTCACCTGGAGTTGTTAGAAATGCAGGTCCCACACTTCACCCTAGGTGGGCTGAAGTAGAGTCTGCACTTTACTAAGACCCCCCGGTGCTCTGTTTGCTCACTGAGTAAGCCAGGCCTGAGGTAGTATTCATAAGAACAGCCTTTGTTTGAACCATGTGTTCAAATCCCAGCTCTACCACTTACTGGACAGTGGGTGCATCATGCAACCTCTGTGACCTTGACCAAATTATATACGTACTCTGGGCCTCACTTTCTTCTTCATCATTAAAATGGGAGCAAAAATACACAGCCAATATTGAGTACTTAATAAAGTTCTAGATATTATTAAGAGGGTGCAAGCAAAGGGAACAGCAACTCTCAAAGTTCTGACAGTGGAGATTCCCTGAGGGTGAAAGAAATTCAGACCCAGCAATTAGTGATTGCGTCTATGGTAATTTTAGTCCAAGAAATCCAAGCTCTTTAAAATACATAAGGTTCTTGTGAGTCATCCATGTAAGTATTATCAATCAATCGATCAGTCAATCAGTAAGCCTTTATCGATGCACTGCGGTGCATTTCAGTGCTCCTCAGACTTCAACGTGCATATGAAGCACCTGGCGATCTTACTAAACTGCAGATTCTGATTCCATAGATCTGGAGGGTGGCGACTGAGATTTCCTCTGGTTAACAAGCTCTGGGGTGATGTCACTGCTGCTGGTCTGAGGACCACACTTAAAAAAAAAAAGCGGGATAGCCCTGGCTGGTTTGGCTCAGCGATTAGAGCGTTGGCCTGCGGTACAGAGAGACCCGGGTTCGGTTCCCGCTAAGGGCATGTACCTCGGTTGCAGTTTGTCCCTGGCCCTGGTTGGTCGTGCGGGTGGCAGCCACTCGATGTGTCCCTTTCACGTCGATGTTTCTGTCTTTCTCTCTGTTCCTCTCTCTCCCTCCTCCCACTCTACCTGAACAAAAAATGGAAAAATGTCTTCAGGTGAGGATAAAAAAAAACAATTGAGATAGAGAAGTGGTTCTTAATTTTTTTTTTTGGTCTTAGGAATTCTTTAAAAATTTTTTTTTCTTCATTGATTTTAGAGAGAGAGGAAGGGAGAGGGAGAAAGAGATAGAAACATTGATGAGAGAGAACATCGATTGGCTGCCTCCTGCATGCCTCCGACTGGGGATTGAGCCCACAACCTGGGCATGTGCCCTGATGGGAATTGAACTGGCAACCTCTTGTGCATGGTTCGATGCTCAACCACTGAGCCACACCAGCCGGGCAGCTCCAGAGTTTTCTATAACAGAGTCTGGAAACCTTGGTCCTGCTGCTTTTTCTGGCTCTGTGACCATGGACAGGTTATGAACCCTCCCTGGACCTGTTCATCAAGTGCCAAATGGGAGTAACATTCGCTTTAACTCAGAGTACTGTAGGAATTAATGGAACTAATATTTGTGAGAGAGCTTGGGATGCTGCGGTCCAGCTTAGTGCTAAGTGTTGGGGATGCATAACAAAGCACGACGTGCAACTTGGCTCTCGAGGATGTTGGAAGAAATTGAGGAGAAAATGCTAATAGCCGCGCTACAGTTAGGGAGCAGCAGGCTTCCGACTGTACGGACCAAATGCAGTGAGAATTCTGAGGAGAGATCATCGCGGGCAGGGATGAGACCCTGGTTGAACACTTCCTGTGTAGTGCTGTCCCCTGTGGTTTCACACGCCCCACAGTAGAGGTGTTGCTGTGCCCATTTTACAGTTAAGAAAGGTAAAGCTTAGAGAAATAACTTGTCCGAAGACACATGGCTGGTGTTTAAACTTGTGCCTGACTTTAAAGCTGATGCTGTTTTTATTGCTCAGTGTGTCAGGGTTCTTGGGCGAGTGGGATGTGAGCAGGACTAAAGCATGGATCAGACAGGGGTGGGCAGAGCAGCTAGTCCATGACCAGGATCCTTACAAGTGAAGGTGTGGACACAGCATGAGCTGGAGGTGAACCTAGGGGGTTTGGCACTGGGTCACCACTGGATGTGTCCATGGGTTTTAGACGGCCAGTGAGTAAATGACCATGGGTCCCTGCCCTCACTCCTTTGTCTGATTGGTCTAGAAGCCCTACAGGATGGATTGGGTAGGGCAGTGCTGGGGGGAACCCCAGCTCGTGGTTTTTCTGAGCATTCAGGGGTCAGTCGGTGATCTCCTGGGTTACAGTGTGGAATAGAAGGGGAATGCAAAGTGTAAGGTGGCCTTTGAAGGAAGAAACAAGAAGAGCACACGGATGTCGAGGATGAAAGAGAAGAACCAAAGGTGATTGACGCCCTGACCTACCCACTGATTGATTGGTTCATTTATTCAGCAAATATTTATTAAGTGCTTCTTGAATGGCTGGCCCTGGGCCAGGTTCCAAGGATAGTTGTGGCCAAAATAGACATGTGCTCCTCCCTCCTGTGGGGTGACAAAAACAAGTACAGCAACACGAATGATGATGTCAGGCAGTGCCGGGTGCTGGGGTGAAAGGGAACGCAGGGTAGGGGAAAGGGAATGGCGCAGAGGGTGCGAGTGGAGGAAGGTGGTCAGGAAGGGCTTCCTGGAGGGGACATTTGAGGAGGATTCTGAGTTCCCGAGCTTGACCTATTCCAGGAGGCAAGGAGAGGGCTCCTGCAAGCAAGAATCCCTTGCGTGTCTTTTCAGTGGCCTGTAGCCACCACTCCCATTTTGCAGTTGAGGAAACTGAGGTGCAGGGAGTGTATGGGAACTCGAGTCACCCGGCTGGTCGGCCCCGCAGAATGAAGTGAAACCCTGGCTCTGAGCAGGGCCCTCCCTTCGCCGGCCGGCTCTGTGCCTCCAGTTCCGCAAAGCTCCTCCCGTCCCTGGCGGTGCTTCCAGCCCCCAGGAGCCCTCCCTGAGTCTGCCATGGCCTCGTCATTCTGCCTGACTTGCTTTCACCTGCTCCGAGGCGACTGTGACAGGGCTGCCGGCGGCACACGTCAAGCTGTCCCTGGCTTCACTGAGGGGTGGGGGGCAAGGGCAGCTGAGGGTGACCACCTCCTTGTCGTGGGCAGGCAGGGAAGCCTGTCAGAGCCTCGGGTGACTGCCAGTGCGCCTCATAGTCCCTCTTTGGGTGAAGTCTGAGTAATGAGGGCGAGGGGAGGGGGCTGCTGTTGTCGCGAGTGTGTGCCCGCGTGTGTGTGTGTGCATGTGCGTGTGTGTGTGTGTGTGTGTGTATGTGTGTGGTGTAGGGGTGAGGAGCTGGGAGGGAAGGGGGGGGGAGAAGCGGAATTTTGTAATTTGTTTTAGAGCGAGACAAGCTGAGGAGGTGGGGGTGTTAGCCTGCCAGGTGGTGTAGATTGTGAAGTGTGTGTAAGAGAGAGAGAGAGGGAGGAAGGGAGGGGGAGAAAGAGAACAAGCTTGCACACACGAGTGAACATCACAGGACTTTTGACCCTGAAGTCCCCAGGGCTACTTTTCCAGGCCAGGCCCCTGCGACTGCCCCAATTTCCCTGCACCCCAGGTTGCTGCCATTTTTCTTATCTGCTGTGTCTTTCTCCCTGTCCCCAAAGACCCCATCAGGCCTTTTCTTTGGTTGGGAGTTTACTGCCACTCATTACCAGAGAATGACCCCGAGGAGGCCAGGGTGCTGCGCACGTGACCAGTGTGGGACTTCCAAGGGTTTAAAAATAACCCTGGCCGCATTCTTGCAGCGCCGTCCGGGAGAGCGCCTCACCCTGCCTCGTGCTGAGGCCTGGGGACGTACAGGGCCGTGGTCCCCGCAGCCCAGCCTTAGGAGACCCCGAGCCCCACTCAAGGCAGACCACAGGGGGTCTCCGCGGAGGCCCACCCTGTGGAGCTGGCTGAGCGGGGGAGGGGAGCGCCTTACCTTCCCAGGCTCATGCCCGGTGCCAGGATGCCAGGCCTGGCTGGCTCTCGAGAGACTTGAGCGGGGGAGTGTGAGCCAAGGAGCTTGGCTTGATAACTGGAATTACGCTACTTGCTCCAGTACGCCCAGCACCTGGTCAGCTGAGGTGTCAACGAGGGTGGAAGCTCAGGACTTGGAGGAATAGGTCCCACAGCAACAGTCGAGTGTGGACATTTGGTCAGTAGAAGCTTCGCAGGGAGACCGTCTTGATCTAATTTCCTGGCTGTGCACTTAGTAGCTGAGAGACCGTAGGCCAGCTGCTTACCTTCTCTAATGGCCTCAGTCTCCAGATCTGTTAAATGAAGCCAATAGTAGTACCTCCCTGTGGGAGTTGTGAGCAGCTGAGTGATTTCAGGCAAAGTGCCTAACTGCCCTGGGTCTCAGTTTCCCGGCCTGTGAAGTGGGGTTGGTGGTGGTACAGAGGTGGTGAAAGCTAACTGGGGAGACGCAGGTGAAGCTCTCAGGGCCTCACAGAGGACATGCCCAGGGACTGTCGTGATATCAGAATAACAAGCATCGTGATACCCCAATGTCTCCCCAGGCCCGTGGCTCTGCAGGTGGCAGGAGGAGACATGACCCCGCCTCTCAGGAAGACCAGGACAAACCCTACGTCTGTGACAGTAAGTACCGGCGATGCTGCCTTCCTTCTCCTGCTCCTGCCTCCAGCGCCACCCCTCCCGTGCTTCCCTGGGGGTCGGCTCCTCTGAGGTCTGCACCCCGGCTCACGTGCTGCACCTCACCACCGGCCCTGGCTGCCCCTGTGCTGGTGTTTGTGCGGAGGCCCCGCCTTGGGTGCTGTGTCCTCTCCCTGGCAGTGCCCGTCTTGGTAGCTTTTCTCCAGCTCTGTCGCTTTCACTCTGTCTCCTTAAGGTTCATCCCCCATTTCGTGCTCTATTTCCGAGAGTTACAAACAAAAGCACAACTCAGAATCCTCCATCGAAAGTCCTTGGTTCCTGTGGTTTTTCATTTGTTTCCCTTAATTTCCTTTTTTCTGTCTCCTGTCCTACATAGGGCAAGTTACAAATCTTTCTCTGGTGGTGACTTAGTTAAAAAATGGCTTTCCATCCGTCTCCAGCCTTTCATGCTTGATTCAGAAATATCTTTTGGACAAGCGGCTGCCCGGCTCCTCGGTTTGGGGTCTGCAGACAGCTGGGAGGGCTGAGGGGGAGCGTGCCTTGGGCAGGGCGGCGGGGGCCTCCAGAGACCTTCTGGGGCCTCGCTGCTTCCGCACCTACCGGGGCAGTGGGTGGCGGCCTTCCAGTCCCTGCCCTCATTGTCTCCTCACTGTGTCGGCCCCATCTGCTCGCCCCATGGCCAGGGCAGCCCTCAGCACCGCTCTTCCTTACCCTTCTCGTTTCTCTGAGGACGCACAGGACAAAGGGCTGCAGAGAATCTCAGCAGCGTGGCTGAGGCAGGCCCTGTGCAGGGTCCCTTCCGCATCCCTCCGTCCTGCCGGTCTGCATCTCTGAAAGCTAGGAGACAGCTGGGAGGATGGGGCGCGGGAGTACTTTGGGGTTGATGCTTTTTTCCTCCCTTTTCATTGTCCTCTTGTTCAAAGAGTTGTTCTGTGCCTGGTGGGGATGACAGCTGGTTGGAGAGCATTGCCAGAAGACCTCCAACTCCGTGACCCCCACTTGGCTTCTTCACACACTGTGCCAATGGCATTCGTGAGACAACTTTGGGTAACATCTTCATCCCAAAGCGGTTCCATTTGCGGATGAGAAGAGAGCAGGGCATAGGGTCTGATCCCTCTTGCCGTGCCAGCAGGTGCCTGCTCTGGCCTGGATCTTACTTCCTGCATGGGGTTCAATAAAACCCAGGCATGCTGGGAGCCTGGCTCTGGCTGGGGAAGCCCTCAGACCCTGCAGTACAGGCTCCCCCGTCGGGAGCAGCGCAGCTCTCGAGAATGCCAGCAGCCGCTTTGGACCTGGCTTAGCTTCTTTTTTTTTTTTAAATCCTCACCAGAGGATTTTTTGTTCAAACAGAGCAGCGGGGAGAGAGAGGAAGAGAGAGAGAGAAAAACATCGACGTGAAAGGGACACATCGAGTGGTTGCCACCCGCACGACCCATCCAGGGCCTGGGACAAACTGCAACCGGGGTACGTGCCCTTAGCGGGAACCGAACCCGGGTCTCTCCGGACCACAGGCTGACGCTCTAACCGCTGAGCCAAACCAGCCAGGGCCTGGCTTTGCCTCTTGATTCCTCTTCTGAAAACCTTTATTTCTGTTATGTGACTTTTCTGCTACCATAGATAGTGGAGCTACTTTTTGCTCTATCTCTACACCTCTTGTTGGATTCTCAGCCATTAGTAACCGCTGTATTCCCAGACACATCGTGTGTCCTCCTTCACCCACCTCAGTCCCTCTCCTCACTCCTCTTGACGTCCGACTGCACAGGTCGCCCTTTGTGGGCGTCCCTCTCTTCCTGGCTCCCTCTTTCTGCACAGAGCGCCTGTATCAACCCTCTCCCCCAGCTCTGGTGGTTTTGTTCAGGGGTTCTCAATGCTATTCACTTTTCCTGTTCCCTTCCTCACAGGGTCTTTTCCTCCTTCTGTTTCGGCTGTTGCACTTGGAAGCCTGACCACAGCCTGAAGTTGGCTTTCTGGAAGTCTCCGTGGCAGATTTCTTGGTTCTCCTCCTTTTTCCTCTCTCAGGGGAGCCAGGACCCCCCTAGGTTGCCCTTCTCTTTCTGACTCTCTTAGGAAATTGTGTGGCGGCTCAGTGATTAATAGACTTTATTTTTATCTGGTGCCCTTCAGACATGTGATCCTTTGGGATAGAAATGACCTTTGGAGAGGTCATGAGGCCCACCCCGCACCCCCGTACTCAGCAAGGAATGCTTTTAATAATCTCTAATGCATCCTAAGTAGAGAGGTGTCTGGTCACCTCCTTGAATGTCCCCAGGGATGGTGTTACCATAAGCTGACCTTTCTTCCATGATTCTAATTGTGCTTTGAATGATTGTTTTTCCTTAATAGGAACTGAAATTTTTCTCTTCTACGGGCTCCCTTATCTTTTGTGCATCTTTTCCCATCAAACAGGTACATTGAGCATTTAGTCTATTGGTGGAGGCTCTCTTAACATCTCCTTGTAGTCTTGGTTTACCTAGGGCAGGTCTCATAACCTCTGCAGTCGCCTGTCCTGAATTCCCTCCCAGGTCCACACCTCAGCTCCTCACTCCCACTGGGTAGCACCAAGGCCATTTGGCTAAAAGAGTAACAGACACACTTCCTTGTTTGTTTTACACATCACTTAGCCCCGCCCACCTCTGTAGGGTGTAGAAGTACCCACCGCCCATCGCACTGTGCACCATCTCAGGGACTTCCCATGTGGTCAGAAGTCGCTTACACCCCTGTGTGCCCTTCTCTACTTAGGCGTTTGATTATTTCTTCGTCCATAAGTCACTCTGCACTTGGCCCTGTTGAGTCTCAATAAAGAGATACAATAATATGTGACTTCAATATACAGGATTCAATAAAGGCAAATTTAAAGACATTGCCCAGTAGTTAAATTTTATTCTCTACAGATTTGTGATCGCTGCCATTTTCACATCATCTGTGGTTTGATTTGCATAATCCCCACTCCATCTTTTGCGTTATTTATGAAAATATTAGGCAACCTTGGACCCCACTACCTCTTTCCGGGTTTATGTGGAGTGGCAGTCTCTGTTTTTCAGATGTGGTTGTATTTAACCCTTTTTGGTATATATTTCTAAATATAGTTGTCCTATTATGTTCTTGTTCCAAGCTTCCCTTAAGATGGGTGGCTGAAATATTACCTTTGCGGTTACTTCAGGTGATAGATAGTTTGCCCATTGCCTTTCACTCAGCCACTGGATTTATTTCATCTCAGAGAAATATTAAATCATCTGAACATAATTTATTTTTTACCCAATCCATAGTGTGTGTGTAGGTGAATACTTCATTTACCAGCAAGTAACCAATCTCTGTTAATTGTCCTGAATATTTACCAAGCTTAAGGATTAAAGTCCCGACTCTTCCTTTTCGATCTCTTGGTGAAGGAAAAGTGTTCACTACCCACAAACAGAGCAGCTGAATGTAACTTTGTGGGAAAGGCTGTCGTGTTAGTCAAAGCGGAGTTGGGTCTTTGGCACCGAGATTACCCAGGTGTTTATTAAAGTGTAGGCTCCCAGGCCTCACAGCAGACCTCTCGCATCAGAACCACTGGGAGCAGGCCAGCAGCCTGCATCCTTGAAGAGCTCCCAAGGGGAGATGTATGAGGACTGTCCTTTGAGAATGACTCGTCTATTTCATCCAGACTCGAAGGTCTCTGGCCAATTGCTCAGCCCTTATTTCAGTCCCTGCTTTTTGCATCTGGAAGTTCTAGAGTGTCCAGGAATTCTCCAGGCAGAGTGCCACTGGCTTGCATCACTGTTTTAGTTGGTCTCTTTAGACTCTTTCCAATTCTTTCAGCACTGATATAAAACTCAGCAGTCCCATATAAAACTCAGTGATCCAGCACTTGACATTAATTTACTTCTTAATGGCTTAAATCCTAATAGTGTCATTAGCCCCCTTTTGTATGTGGTATGATAACTGGAGAGAGACATATGAAAGGAATCCTTGGGTTTGGGCTGTTGGGCTGTTTTAAAAATCATTTCAGGAGTTTGCCTCTTCTCTTCCTAGCTGTACCTGACCCCGAATTTCCTGTTAGCATCATTGGGGCAGACTCCTGACGAGAGACCTGCTTTTCCATTTGCTTTGTTCAAGGAACATCATAAGAAAGAAGATGGTAGTGATGGGGTGGGACTCGAGGAGAGGAGAACGTTTGGCTGGAGGCCTTGGCCATTTAGGGGGGAACAAAGCAGACATCTGCCCTTTCGCCAGGCACAGTGGAAGTGACTTTTGTGAAGTTGTTTATTAAAATTGTTTTAAAGAAATTAATTTTAATTTGATTATGGAACATTTAACATTTAAATGTTAAATTTAAAGAACACTTAACATGAGACCTGCCCTCTTAGCAGATTTTGAAGTGTACAGGTATGTTGTTGACTGTAGGTACAATGTTGTGTAGCATGTCTCTTGAGCTTATTCATCTTGCTTGATGCAAACTTGATGTCTGTTCTACCCTTTAATGCTAAGATTTTGACTTTTTAAATATATTTTTTGTATTGATTTTAGAGAGGCAGGGAAAGAGAGAGAGAGAGAGAGAGAGAAACATCGATGAGAGAGAACATGGATTGGCTGCCTCCTGCATGCCCCCCCACTGGGGATGGGCCCGCAACCTGGGCATGTGCCCTCTTGGTGCATGGGTTGACACTCAACCAGTGAGCCACACCAGCCGGGCTAAGATTTTGACTTTTTTTTTTAATCCTCACCCGAGGACATTTTTTCATTTTTTGTTCAGATAGAGTGTGTGTGTGTGTGTGGGAGGGGGAGAGAAACATCAACGTGAAAGGGACACATTGAGTGGCTGCTTCCTGCACGACCAACCAGGGCCGGGGACAAACTGCAACCGAGGTACGTGCCCTTAGCAGGAACCGAACCCAGGTCTCTCTGGACCACAGGCCGACGCTCTAATGGCTGAGCCAAACCAGCCAGGGCAGATTTTGACTTTTTAAGGTACCTCATAAATGTGGAATCAGGTAGTATTTGTTTTT